TCTACAATACTTTGGTCTTTGCAAGCTTGGGCGAGTGATGATACGAAGTAAGAAAGCTCCTCCATTCTAACCCAAAAGAAAGAGTCGATGCATTTGACTGTGAAGAGCTCGGTGGTGCAGATCCCTCTCATGCTCTTCCAGTGATCACCACTAGCCAAAGCTATTCCCTTGAAATTGTAGCCACTGTGCTCTCCAACCAGCAAATATGGCCTGAAACTGAAAGTTGAGTCTTCAGCCTTGAACACTTGTTTTGCTAGATCTGGACTAGAAATCACAATTGCTGGGATCATCCAAGCCATCTTTTGGATTTCTATCATCATCAAGACAATTTTATTTTTCCTTTATTCCATCACCACCTCCAGCTTCACCAACTACAAATACAATATTTTCTCACAAACCATATTCAAAACCATCTTTAGGATTATATAGTTCTACTTCTCCCCCTAAATCCAGCTTGTCATTGTTTGGCTTGTACATTTTGTATAAGCATTTGCCTATGTCTCTAGAAAGTAGATTTGCTAAAAAAAACAACCTTTTATCCCCTCTATTGCAACACATGACAAGTAAGGATAATTCTTCTCACCTTTCTATTTTGGCTTGGTATTGAGTATTCCTGAGCCATGTTCTGGATCCCAGAACAGTTACATCCAAGCTTACAAGGCAATCAAATTCTGGCAAAACTAAGTTGCTTTGAAAACCATATTGAAAATTATATGGAATTATCATGTGCTTTCATTGTTTAGCATACTATAATCTTAAATTTTGTTAGCTTGGTAGTAAATAAACTTTTTTGGTGCCTACTTAAAATCATGATATAGTTATAAGACTAGTTTTCTAAGTAGTTTTTGAGTTTTCACTTCACAAGTTCATCATGGAGGTAGAGGAGATAATCACTTAATCTGTCATGCTTCTTTGGGTTGGGCTTTGTAAGTAGTGTAAGCAGTGTTGAAAAAGTATAGAACATGAAAAGTTAGACTTACTTTCCTTAATTGACGTCTTTTTCTTTCTCTATTGTGTTTACTCCACCAAAAATCTTCAGCTCTTTAAGCTAGGTAAAGATTATATGTTTTTCTCCAAAGCTATGAAGGTCTTGGAGAAGACCTAGCTCATATCCTTGTGCATCCAATGTGCTAATTGAGTTTACAAATGGTGTTTTGTTCAATTTGTCTTGTCTAGAATTCTAATATGCACTATTGTTTTGTATTGTTAGAGCTTGCTATCACATCCACTACAATATCATTATATTTCTAGTTGATTTTGACATTTTGCAAATTGAATGATTGTATACAAGGATGCATGGAAATGATTTTGGACTTGGAAGATGGTTGAAGTTGGGAGCAATAGTATAAATAATGTGTTATAGTTCTTTGTTATAGCAAGGTATAGTGTACTTGACATATAAAGTGTTCAGAACTAGTAAAATAAGATAGTTTTGTGTATAAGCTATGGTTTGGTCTAAAAGTAGTTGAAAAAGAACAAAGATCCAATGATATAACAATGGAAATTGGAAACCTCTTTGAAGAGACCACAACTTTGGATATGGTAATAGTTGAGTTTAATCTTTGAGGAAGAAGTTTTAAACATAAATAGTTATAAAAGTATAGAATACTAAATAGGTACTTCTCTTGAGATAAGGTGATGGCTAATTAATATAGTCAAAATTAATATGTGATGGCAGTGAATATACCTAAAATATGCTTTGATATTCTAGGATATTCTACCATCTAACGGTTGATATTCATTTAGATTAATCTTGTATTTATAAACATGTTTATAATTTATAAAATTTCTTAAACCCTTTCTAGTATATTCTTTTTTATTCTATCATCTAATGGTTGATATGCAATAAGATTAATCTTGTATTTATAAACTACAAATATGCTTATAATTATAAACTTTGGATTAGTAAGTAAGAATAACACTACTATTAAGCAAACCAAGTGTTAATTTGTTAATATAATTTTCTTTGAACTACCCATACATGCAATAGAGTTTATCATGCACCAAGAACAGAAGGTGGTGCACTAGGTTTTATCTCTGTTCATCATTCTAGATTGAATCAATAAAAGGGCTAAGGTAAGAGAATGATTGTGAAAACCACATCTTAGAAAAGGCTATGCCATCACTAATAATGAATAAGCATTGTACCTACATGTATGAGTGACCCCCCCCCCCCCCCCCTCATGTGTGGCCATCTCCCACATAAGAGCTCTAGCAATTTCATATAGGTATACAACTTTTGATATTGGAGTTTATAGATAGCTTTAGTATATATATTGAAAACAAGTGAGTTCATTCTTGGGAAAGATTGTTTAACAAATAATATAGAGAGCACAAAAGTGAAGAATTCAAATCTTACTAGTAGTTTTGATGATTTCAATTTTCTATGGGCATGGTGGTATGGCTGGACCATTGCCAGAAACGTTGAATAAATTATGCATAACTTTCACATTATGATAATTTGATATATAGAGCATCAACCACATTAAAGAGGGAACATTGGGATTCACTCTCAAGTCACAACTTCATCTAGTAAGTCCATAAGTAGAACCTCATGCTGTAGTGGGTTCTTGTCGAAGGGGGTTGGTAGAACATCCTCTAGCTCCTTTAGTCTAAAATTACTGTAAGCCATATTGCAAAATAAGATATAGTGGTAAGGCATGTTTAAAACTTACCAAATGGTGGAAATTGTAGTGGCGATGGAAATTCCAGCAGAGTTATAAAAAGCTACATACTCAGCCTCTACTTCAACATCTTCCTTGTTACTCATCTAATTGTTGTTCAGGAATGAAACTTCCTCCTCTGCTCCAAGGGAAGCTCTTTGCCTAGAAGATCAAAAGGATCGTTATTTAGTTTTTGTGTGCATGGTTCATCTTCTTTACTCTAAAAATGTTCACTACCACTTGCACTAGTGCTAGATGAAGCTCCTAATAGAAAAACTTGAGAAGAGGATATACAAAGCTTTGAAAACATAAATGTTTATCATTTTGATTAGTTTTCTCCATCCTCACTTGTGCTTGCTTCTGGTAGCTGAAACAATTCATATGAGTCCTCATGTTGAAGAGGAAGATGACTGTAGACTTGAAACAATTACTATTGTTGCAAATGCTTACTTAAATTCTATATATAAGCTAGTAGTACAGTTTACTGCCCACTACCTATCTCCCCACCACCCACTACACCTTCCACCACTGCCTATCACCACATCACCACCACCCAACCGATTGTAATTCACTAAAAATATATAGTGAATATTTATATGTCCATAAGGGTCCTCCAGATCTTCCATCTTGTACACTTCAATCTTCACCAGCTTGTTCCTCAAGTGTGAGGCCCCAATCCGCTCACAGCCCCCAGTGGTGAGGCTCTACACTGACTCGAGACAGGTTGGAGACAGCACAGATTGTCTACATTTGCTCTTGCCAAAGGTTGCATGCTGTGGTATAGTCTTTTGGAACAGTGAGAGGTTCACGGAACAGGTGCATCGTGAGTCGACACAGCGAATCCAATAGGAAGTCTTGCCTCGTGTGCTTGTGCGGCGATGGCACGACTTCATTTAGCAGCTGGACATGGGTGGGAAGAAGCCAAATTTCATTCTCCACGGTAAGGAGGCTTCGCATTTTTTATTTGGCTATTGAAAAGCTAGAGCAGCTCTTGGAATTCTAATGGAGAACCTCAAGACTCAGAAGGGCTGGGCAGTGGGCTCACTCCCTGCTCATGGGAATGCGTCAAGCTCATGCCCAGCTGGTGGGAACCCCTCCCGCAACCTTGGCGTGTCAAAAAGGCATGGGCAGGAAAGCGCTCGTGCAGTCTTCATCTAGCGGCAGTCTTCGTGGTCCAAAATCCTTGTGAGGACCAAAGCCCACACAAGCATGGATTTTGGACCACGAAGACTGCCGCTAGATGAAGACTGCAAGAGTGCTTTCCTGCCCATGCGTTTTTGACACGCCACTATGTAATTCTAAGTATAATTATTTTCTCAAAAAAATGACTTTTCAAAAGTTAAATTTTAACTTATATTTTGTGGTAAAAAAGGCCATTGAACTTGGATGAATGTCTACTTAAATGGACCTTGATTTTGAGCAAATGCCCCAATTATTATCATGTTGTCAATAGGAATGCTCAATGGTGCTATTGAATAAATTCTTGGATGGTGTATTATAATGTGTAAGGAGAACAACTTAAAAGTTAGTCTATAAGGGTTAAAATATAGAGAAAAGAACCTACAAATAAGTGTACCTTTTTTTTCAATTGGTTGAAAGTTTTGGGATATAGAGAATTAAATATCATTTGGTTTAAGTAACATTAAGATGAGTGACCTAGAAAAGCTGAATTAAAGAGCTCATGTAATGTGCCTGATTGAAAACTGGCAATAGTTTAAATTCCACCCTATTATATAAGTTTGATCTTTACCTTATACAACTCCATCACTTTTATTGCCAGTTCTTGAAACCACCTATAGTAGTGTAAGAGCTATGCTTTTGGAATGGCAAAAAACTTCATTATCATTGTGGTGAGAGGTTGGAGGACAAGAGCATTGAGCCTCTAGTAATTGTAGTTACTAGGGGCAACAACGTTTGTGATCAAAAGAAAAACATGTAAAAACAAAAAGTTAGTGTGGGAGATGGTGCTTGAAACATAAGTAAAATACCTCAAGCCATGGGGAGGTGCAAGCTAGGTTAGGATGATAGAAGGTCTAATAAAGCTATCACTAGTTCTTGCACAAGCATAGTTGGCACTGCCTGCACCTCCAACGGTGAAGGCACTAGCACTCATGCTACCACTAGCAATTGCAGTGGTGTCTGATCCATTGCATTGATCCTCTATGTTTTCAAGGATCTAGCCTACATAAACAACGCAAAGATAATAGAGAGAGAAGGACAAAGAAGAGAAAGAGTTCATCATGGATTGATCTGACTCACATATCCTTCAATCCAAGTTGAAGACTTAAGATCAAGCCTTGATCCAAAGTGCTTGATTGATAAATTTCATGGTGGGAATGACCATAATATGATTGCCATTGGTAAAGAAAATCATGCCAAAATTCTGAAGGGAGCAATAAAGGGCAAAACTAACCCTAACCCTATGCCAATTTTTTTCATGGACGTCAGCCCTAGGACTAAAGGTTTTCCTAAACTCAAATAGTTAGTCGGCATCATCAAGAACAACAAAAAGCGTCATGCCACTCTTAATCTCATCAAAGTTATGACCTCCCTTCTTGTACTGGCCAGGAAATTTTTGGTTCTCTCGGATAGCTTGGCAAATTTCTTCAACGTTCTCGAAAATCTTCGTTTACACGGTGTAGTGCTGCTGGATCGTGTCTATGTCCAATCCCTTGAGCCTCACCACCGATTCGACGTGACCCTTGAGCGTAAGAAGCTCCCTCAACCTGGATCAATCCACCAGCGTCGATCATCACACATGAAAACTTTCTATGAACCAAAAACTTTTCTTTTTACCTGGCGATCTCGGCACGCCTCTTGGCTTGCTCCGCGATCTCGGACAGCTCCTTGTAGCTGCCCCTGTCTTGAGTCATCTTTGTTTCCGGTGGATGGAGCCCGTGGAGTGTTCGCTGGGCGTGAGCCCATTGAGCCTCACGGGCCTCCTTTCCAAAGTCCTTTTGGGTTGTAAAAGCAGTCTGTTCGTGAAAAGAAAAGCCAGTGAGCAATCTGGAAACTTCAAGAAGAAGAAAGAAAGATCACGGACCTTATTCTCGATCATGTTCTGCCATGCTTTGCCGCTTAGCACGTAACGCACGAAGATCTTTAGGAAGTCTAGAGGGATGTAAGTTACGAGACTGTAAAGCCAGATAGCACCAGCCCATCCCCAGCCAATTCCTTTGATACCAGCAAAATTCCACCTTGCATACACAGCAAGGAGCGTTGCCACCTGAAAGAAAAAAAAGTTAAAGACCAAACGACGGCAGGAAAAAGAAAAAGAAAAAAGAGATGATGAGAGCTCATTACCATCTGAGCGACAAGAAACGCCGAAAGCAACAAGAATCCCGGACGCTCAAAGTATGAAAAGCTTCGTGACCTTGTGACAAAGATTAGTGCCTGACTCACGATACTGACTTGCAGGTACACCGCAGCAGTCAATTCCCTGTTGCTGTCTTTGATGGTTCTAAGGTGGAACTTGCTCTGCGGGAATCACTCGCTTTATGTCAGCTTAGAGACCGAGAGACTCTACCTCAAAAAAGTCGGTCTTGTAGATCATCCAGAAGAATAACACTGTCATCAATCCCATGTAGGTCCCGAGAACGATGCCGGTTGTGAAGATTTCCCGGAGCTTCCAACTATCAGGCAGCGGAGAAGGTTTGACACGATCTTTTGAGATTGTCATGATGGTACCTGCAGGGACACGCGACATCCTGTTCATCAAACACATAAAAGAAAGATAATGCACCCACCATCATTCAGAATGGCAATGATAAGAACCATGAATGGAGCAAAGTCGAATTTCCATATGAGAGCAAGTAGCATAAAGCCGAGCTAGAAAGATAAACAGTGGTCAGTGACGCCTGAGCAGCATCATATATGTAAAATGTAACTTACCACTATACGGATTGTGATCGACACGGCATAAATCTGTGGAGACAGCTTATAGTTTAGAGAAGTAAAGACGTTGCAACGCTGCTTACCGTGTAGTTTTTCATACGCTGGAAGATAGCACGGCTGGTAAGAACAGCACTGATAATCACACTAAGGCCGGGCTCAGTTAGAACAATATCAGATGCACTCCTTGCCGCGTCAGTAGCATCTGCTACAGCAATACCAATGTCTGCCTTCTTTAACGCAGGAGCGTCGTTCACACCATCGCCAGTCATACCGCAGATATGCTTCTTTTCTTGCAGCTTCTTCACAATTTCATACTTGTGTTCTAGACACAGAAGTAAATCATAAGCACGAGTCTTCTCAAGTGCCAAACGAAAAGCTTACCTGGGAATACTCCAGCAAAACCATCAGCCTTTTCAATCAGCTCCTCAACCGGAAGCGCAGCAAGATTCTCATCTTTGTGGTTTCCAAGCAGCGAAGAAGATGGATACATGTTTGTCCCCATCCCAAGACGGCGACCAGTTTCCTTCGCAATTGCCAATTGATCACCTAGAGAAAACGAAAGCTCACTTTAGGCACTCACAACTGACAGGGAAATCTCACCTGTGATCATTTTAACGTTTACACCAAGATTCAAAGCCCGGCGAATGGTTTCAGCGCTGTCGTGACGGGGAGGGTCAAAGAGAGGCATCAGTCCACAGAACCTCCATGGTCCTCCCGGACTTTCCTTGTTCTTCTCGGGTACGTCCTATGAATACAAAACTTTGTAAGGAACTAGTCTCTTAGGACAAAAAAAAGTGCCAGACCTGTATGGCAACGGCAAGAGAACGAAGCCCTCGCTCAGCGAACTTGTCGATGATGGAGTGAACCTTGTCTGCTATTTCGGACTTATTGTGAGCCAAGGCGAGAATCTTCAGAAGCAAACATAGCTTTAGCCAAATCAGAAAGCAAAAGAAAATACTGGGTTGTTCGAACCTGCTCAGGAGCTCCTTTACTTGTTCTGTGCCACTTTCCATCGGAGTCAATGTAGGTGAGTGCTGTCCTCTTGTCCACAGGATTGAAAGGCAGAAAGTGCACTTCCGTGACATTAGCCCGAGCCTGTCACACTCATTCCAGTTAAGCTAGCTTCAAACTTTAAACAGCGGGAGCCACAGACCTCTTTAGGATCCGCAAGCATTCCAACAATGGCCGTGTCTATTGCATCCTGGTTCTCAGTTCGAGACGCTCTCGCAGCCAACAACACTACCATTTCCTTGTCCACTCCTTTCGTAAACACCTGAAAATATAATAATACGCACTATGAGAATCTCTGAGCACTTAAAAAACTGATGTCAAGTCACTCGCCTCGATAAGGTTTTTGTCGACTGTGAGTTTGTTCAGTGTCAATGTACCCGTCTTATCACTGCACAGGACATCCATTCCAGCCATTTCTTCGATAGCAGTCATGCGCTTTGTAATAGCTCCCTGTAGTTCCATAGAATTGTTTAGGAACGTCAAATAGAAAGAATGAAAACTAAAACAACTTTTAACGAACCTGTGTCGACAGGCGGTGAGAACCAATAGCCATGGTAACAGACAAAACCGTCGGCATTGCAATTGGAATCCCGCCAATGAGCAACACAAGCAAATTGTTGATGCCATCACGATACTTCCTCCTCTGGATTGGATACATGACGATGATCTCGATCACCATTCCAATGGCAATGGAGCAGATGCAAAAGTTTCCAATCGCAGTGAGCACCTTCAAGCAGCAGCCACAAGGAGTAAGATCCAACTTCCCGTGCAGAGACGCAGAAAAGACTTTTTTACCTTTTGAAAGTGGCCAACTTGGTTAGTGGTGTCAACTAAATGCGCGGCCTTCCCGAAGAAGGTATGGACTCCCGTGGCAATCACAACCGCCTCAATCTCTCCTTGCTTGCACGTCGATCCAGAGAAGACCTCATCACCTGGATTCTTGGTCACTGGGAGCGATTCTCCAGTCAGTGCCGACTGAATAATATCAAGTGTTAGAATCGTTCTTGAGCGACAGGAAAAACTTGCCATATCAGCGATAAGATATGATCAGACCTGGTCAATCTTCAGCGGATCACCATGGAGCAGCCTCGCGTCAGCTGGGATGATATCACCGAGCTTGATGCTGATGATATCACCGGGAACTAAGATCTGAGCGTCTTGCTCCTGCCACTTGCCGTCCCTCAACACCTATAGGAAAACACCAACGTTCTTTCAGCTCCTGACTGGAACTCGAGAACGTTACAAGGCAGCGAACAAAGATACCTTGGTTTTTGGAGCTAGCCGCGCCATTAGAGCGGCCGCGGCGTTCCCCGCATTGTTCTCCTCAATGAAAGAGATGGTGGAATTTATCACGAGGAGGATGACTATTCCCACAAAGTCTTCCCAGTCCGGCGGCTCTCCCTATAGTAACAAGCGAGAGCGAAGAGTCAACTAAGAGAGCCGAGAATAAAAAGTTTAAGTCCCTTACGTCTCCATTCGCAAGAACAATCGCCATGATAGCAGCCGCCTCCATGACCCAAGAGAGAGGATTCCACATAAATCCCAAGAACTTGAGGAATTTGCTCTCCTGGAGTAGCAAGGCAATGGAAATGAGCACCATGCAGGCAAAGATCGATCCATCGATCGCACCTTTTTCTCCTCGAGCTTGTTGTAGCCGAAGATCTTGAGCCGATTCTCTCCCTCGGTGCTGGTGAGACCAACCTCGGTACATTTGAGCTGCTGGAACACCTCCTCCACTGGAATTCGCTCCTGGAATCCCACCGATTGAGCGTTAGCGCTTGAAATTTCGAGCCAAGAACAGCGCCGCTCACCAGATCGACGTTCTCGTCAAGAACAAGCCCCTTGCCATCGGCCGCCATGGTGTCTCTCCCGATCGGCGAAAAGCCCCCTCGCGGCAGGGATTCCCTACGCCGATCCGTCACTCATCCAGCTGCAAATCGCGCGACGCGGAATTAGAATCACAGCAAGACCATCGCCACGAAGAATATGAAAAGACACACACAAGAAAATCGATCAAGAAAAACCTTGGAGCTCTCCACCGGGAGAGAAAGAAAAGAGAACTATAGCCTAGGTAGAAATGTTTTTTGGGGGAACCTATCAATATAAGTATAAATATGGAATCGATCGAGCAATGAGCAAGTAAAGACGAGAAAAATGGCTCGAGAGGCGACTGGCGAGTGGAAGACGTTGCTATCGCGGCGCAAGAAAAAAAAGCATCGATCCAAATCGATCAAAGGGGTGACCTTTGTTAGCCTAAACCAGGAGCCAAGAAATATTTGCCTGTGGTTCTATAATTCACCAGAGCTGCGCCGGTTGGAGCACGTAAGTTCTCGCGCGAGGCGTCGAAAAAGAGGACTGGACCGCTTGGGGCGGGGTTAGCCGGGGTTTTTATACCTGGGCTACAAGAACACGACGACTGTGGAGGCCCAAGTGGCCCAATGGAAGGAAACCGGGAACGAGTTTTAATTTTGGGGGGAGATTTTTCTTTTTCCTTTCGTGGCAGGCTCTATAGAGTGGACCGCGAATTATTTTTCGCAGATGGAACCTTGGATACGACGACTTAAAACCCGGAGAGACCGCTTTACTTTATACAACAGGGGATGACCTCTTGACACTATTTGCCGCATATTGGGATTTGCTAAGGGTGGTTGACGCACGCATTGTGAAACTATTAGGTTAATGGATTAGTATTAGGCACAAGCCAAAGGTTGTGTCTTTTGTGGGGGGACATAAGTTGGCGGCATGGTCTGTGGAATCAGATAGTAAACAAAGGGTTTTTAAAGGTTGTAGCAAATGCCGCGGCGCGGCAAAGGAAATAGAGGTGGGAAAAGATTTGATCCAACGGCCGTCGACTTTTCCATCCCTATCGTTTTCTGGAACCTTTGAATTTGCGGTGACGGATATACTCCACCCCTCCAACCGAGATTCCATTGCCCTTCTCGTCAACTCTGGGCGGCTTACGTGTATATTTTATATGCTTTTTGATTTTCTGCGTCCCACCTTTCAAGCTCACTGGGGAGCATGTTATCATCAATCATAATCGTCCCAAGTTGAAAAACGAAAAGAAAACTATCAAAAAAATCAAAATGCGAGAGATCGATCAAGGCGGCGTACTAGAGGGCGTTGGAATCTCGGGGCGAATCTATAGAGGCAACTTTGCTTTCGATTTCAATGCCAGCCTTTCTTTTTCGCAGTTGTGGGTGGATTCACGGACGGGTGCGCAGCTTCCAGCCCTGGACCAGCTAAAATCTTCCCCTGGAATCTTCCCGGAATCTCCCTGGCTTGTAAGGCTCTTTGGTTGGTTAAACAACTCCCTAAAGCCCTATCATTGACAACGAAAGATGCCTCCATTCCCTTGACAATCAAACAAAACCGGGGCTTATATATTTATGATCACGTAGTTTAATCGTATCGGAGCTTAGCACGTTCGAATCCAACGAGAATCTCCACGCGACACATACAAACATTCAAGGTCCTGTGATGAATCGATCCCAAAACAAAAGCTTGAGAGCGCAAAATTGTCCATTGGCTTTGTCAAATTGTGCAGCGCCCTTGTGTGCACGGAAACGTTAACGAGAGAAAGAGTGACCATCTTTTCATTCCAATGGCTGGACATGGTTGACTAGAGACGAAACCACTCGTCACGGGCTCGATTACCTGTCCCGGCAATGTCTCCCAAAAGTCAACACGCTGAGCCCTATTTTCTCGAAAATTCCACGACTCGCAAATGGTTAAAAACCGGGTTATTGTCAACGCAAGTCAATCTAAACCTAAATTCTAGAGCCCTAGAAATGATATACTTTAAAAATTTAGGGTTCTTGGGGAAGAAATGGAGGAGCTCCTGGCGCCTCTGCTATGCGGGATCGACTACGCCCATGGAGGAGGCAAGACAATGCCGCTCACCACGCCCGATCTCCAGCTCCTGTCAGAGAGGATGCAGGTACGCGCGGAGGAGATGAAGGATCGCGTCTTCGCCACCGTGAAGAGCCGCTACAGCAAGATTACGGAGCTCGCTCGTCGCGCTAGCACTGCCGCATTGGATGTAGAGGCCGTGGATTCCCAGCTCCGGGCTCTCCTGGACGATTCATCGCTCCGGATCGGGGATACTTCTTTCGATTCCAAGCTGTGGAAGCTCTCGGCGGAGGTGAAGGGGATCAGGAGTGAGCTGAGGGTGAAAACATCGGCTTTGGCCGTGGTGAAATCCACCGTCGAGGTCCGTGATCGCTTGCTAGCTGGGAAAGAGCTCTTCGATGCAGGCCAAATTCTAAGCGGTGCGAGGAAAATCGCCGAAGTGAAGGGAATCGTCGACGATGATGACGAAGATACGCTCTTGATGCATGAACTTCTCAAGCAGCTGTTATCAAGGATTTATTCCGAGGTATGTCTCCTTTCACCCTTTCAGGTTTATTTTTTCATTCTTCTTTTCTTTTTTCCCAGGTGGATTCTCTACTTGCAGGCTTATGTTCTAAAGTTGTCTCCGTGAATTTTACTGAAGGAATATTGGCTGTGAACTTTGTGACAGTTGCGGGATCTCGACATAACTTTGTAGCAATACTGGAGACAATGGAGGTAGCTTTCTTGAAATCCAGGTTTGCGTTTTCACTGAATTTCTCTTGACAGGTACTTGGACTCCTCGATGGCTTCCTTGGTCGTTTCACAGATAATTTGTGTAAGCTGTTGGCTCTCTTAGTCCACTCTGCTACTGTCGTGAGAGTGGAGCAAGACAGTGACCGTGCAGTACTAAGGATCACTAGAGACGAGAATGCAAGAGTAAGTTTCTTCTTTTTGTGTTTGTGATGATGTGTTAGTCTGTGATTTTTGTGAATTCCATTGAAACCAGGTAAATCAATCATCTGTAGAAGGCGTTTATAAAAAAGTACTGGACTTTGTAAAGTTTATCAACGAGCATCTTTTACACCGCCAGAAAGTATGGATGCTAAAGCTGGGCAGGTCGATTTGGCCAAGGCTTGCCGATATGATAATCCAGAATCACTTACGCAAGGTTACAGTATTTTTGGTGATCCTGGTGGAGACTGACCTTTTGGATTGTGTTGCAGGCAATTCCTGCCGATCATACACAGTTCCAACATTTTGAACAGATTCAAATCCTTACGTCAGAATTCGAAGAAGCTCTCGAAGCCGAAAACTTTGTCAGTGTGGACGACGAAGGTGGACTACTTAGCAACTTCACAGCCGATGTCGAGATTCATTTTTCTGCGAACAAAAGAAAAGATTTGCTGGCTAAAGCTCGAGACATTATCATACGTTTTGATTATCGGTTGCTTCTGGTAAGTTCATTCACTACTTTCGTATGGCTAATGTCCGTGCAGGATATGGCAGCAGAGAGGGAGGAGAAAGACCGACTTATTTTTAGGGAAGACAAGTATGTTGTATCCTACCTTCCAAAACAGCTTTTACCCATTGTACAGGATACATTGAAGGTATACTTTTACTTTCTCTTCTTGAATTAGTGCTTTGTTGTAGGATGCTTGCTCATCGACACCAAGACTAGCTTTGGAGCTTTATAAAGTCGCCCGAGACATTGTGCTGCTCTACCGAGCAATCGTTCCTTCTCAGGTCTTGGTGTCTGACAAATCCTCAGTGAAAGCAGCACCAGTATTTTACAATGACTGCCTCTACATTGCACATGAGTTGACGACTTACTCCCAGCAGGTTTGTGGACCTCAAGAGTATCCAGTTTCTTACGCTCTGTGATCTGCAGTATAGCTCGTCACTGCCTGCCGATCTGCAACAGTCATGCACTTTGATGGACCTCGTTTCGGTGTTTCAATCCATGGGATACAATATGCTTTCAACACATGTTAAGCTGATAAACAATCAGCTCCTGCAGGTTTGTAAAAGAAAAAAAAAGAAAATGCTATTCAGCTTTGCAGAAATGTCTTGTTTGTAGGCTCTGGACAGTGCTAATGGATTCAAATCGACGGATGAGAGAAGAGGCCGTGAAAGGGCGCAGTCTGCACTGCAACAGGTACAGTTTCTGTCAAAGATAGACTTTGCTGGAACTTCCTTTCGCAGGTTGTATCAATCTTTAGATCTACGCACAACGTCTGGCAAGAATTTCTACCCAGCAGTTTTCAAGTGAAGCAGTTGACAATGCTGGCTGACTCACTTGTTAGCAGAATTGTTTATGAAGTTCTGTCTATCAAAGACATGGCTGCCGAAGAAACTGTTCAGGTAAACAAAGTCTGGGTGGTGTTATCAGTTTTACAATCACTTCATCCAGTTGCACAACTTACTGGACGAGCTGATACTGGACTTGGGCTCGGTGCTGGCTTCTGTCGAGAAACATAGCAGGAAATCACTCGACATCCTTGTACCGTCGTGGAGAAAACTAAAACGCTTATCTGGTAACGCCAGTTTTTCTCGTCTTGGCTGACATGGAAAACTTGTTCCAGAGTTATTGGAGATGTCCTTGAGGCCCATCACGAAAGCATGGGAGAGTGGAATTCTCCCGTCGGCAGGATTCTCGCCAGCCGAGGTGGGTGTACTATGGAGTTCTCTGAAAGAGATATTTGGTCTTTCGGTCAGGTCCAGAGCTTGATCAAGGCGATATTCACGGACACCTCGTTGAGAGCGGAGTGCCTTGAAAGAATAGTTTGATGTTCCTTTGCGGGCCAAATTTCCAAACAGTTTTGTGATATTTTCTTTCAGCGAGAAGCAGCTACTCGGGTGAGTGTTTTGCTGGTCGAAACTTTTTCTCCAGTTGCCTTTTCTTTTTTCATGCTTTTTCTAGTTGCGAAACACATTCTGGCAAATCTTCTTTTTTTTTTGGCGTGAGTTCGTGATCAATGCAAATCAAAGTAGCCTTCGTGCTTCGTAGCAAACGCGACTCTTTGTGCTTTAAGGGCACGATATAAAAGTTGATATCAAGCTCACGAACAATCATCAAGACAGATGACTTTATAAGCCATTGACTTAGTGAAAAATTGAAGAAACTTTATAATACTTTTCCTCCTCTAGGAAAAATGTTATAAGCTTTCTTATATAGGTGTTAGATTTTCTCCATTTGTTTTGTGATGTTTTTCCTCTTCAGCAGAATTAATGTTCAAAGTGCACACTTTCTAAATTCTGGATATCAAAGTTCAATTCATTACCAGAGTATTCATGAAAACGACCTTATTAACTTTAGAAATCTTGAGGGAGAAAAAGAATTTTCATTATCTATTGCACAAATATTTGGTAAAAAATG